TTCCTGTGTTCTTTCTCACTCTCTCTCCGTCCTTCCATGTTGCAAGAACAGTCGACTCTGCTCTTTCATTGCGCGCCAGGTTGAGGTCCATTCTAGGAAAACTCATCTCATCCTCCCTATAGCCATTTCACTCGCGAACCGGATCTTCACACTCCGCCCCAACTCTCTCTCTCTCTCTCTCTCTCTCTCTCTCTCTCTCTCTCTCTCTCTCTCTCTCTCTCTCTCTCTCTCTCTCTCTGTGCTTCTCCCGCCAAAACTCTCTACATTCGGCTCGAGCTGGGTCGAGCTCATCATATACCTACTGATTAGCCTACCTATATTACCGTCTTGATTAGCCTAGTCTTGATTAGCCTACCTATATTACCGTCTTGATTGGCCAACCTATTGATTGATTGATTGATTGATTGATTGATTGATCATGATCCCTCTGGAGTCTGAACTCGGAACATGCATTTGTGTTGATGGCACTCTGGTTCACATCGGTAGGTTCTGTTGTTCGCGGTATTGAATTGAATAGGGGTCATATACCAACGGGCCTACCCTCTTCCCCCGAATACAACGTACGGTCATTATAGCTGTATTTGGGGTATCTTTCAGTCTAAATACAGCTATAATGACCGTACGTTGTATTCAGTCTAAGTACAGCTATAATGACCGTAAGTTGTATTGGGGGGAAGAAGGTAGCTCAGTTGGTACACCCATGAACTGTTGAAATACAGACCCAAGTTCGAATCCAGATGCACCCGGATGACCAAAATAAGACCTTTCTGAATTACGTGGGGCCGGTCAGTTCAGTGATGATACCTCAAGGCTGTTGCCCTTTTTTAAGGGAAAAAAAAGAAAAAGAATAGGGGTCATATGATGTGTAATCGAGTTATCTTTTTGATATCGTTATGGAGAAGAGAGGAAAGGAAATGTGTAACTTGTGTCTCTGGAGGCTGTGGTCATTCTCCCAGTAAAGATAGTTCAAGGAGAGTTCAAGGATAGTTCGAGGATAGTTCATTATTTAGCTGCGGTATTCTTGAAAAGTGATTAGGCGTGCCACCTGAGCACCCTCTGAGGCGTGCAGAGGGCTACCGTGTGCTCCCCCCCCCCCCTAGATGTGTATAAGAGACAGGTGTGTGTGTGTGTGTGAGAGAGAGAGAGAGAGAAAGCCCTGCAGCATGCAGCGTGCTGCATGTCAGTGGCGTGGAGCACAAGTGCAGGCGCCCGTCTGTACGTCCAGACGTTCGTACGTACGGGGCCCCCGGCGCCCGTACGGAGTTTGGGCCCTCCGTACGTGGCTTTCCGGGAGGGTGTTGAGGGGGTGGATGGGCTGGGGGGGGGTCGGGTGTCAGGGGGTTACCCCCCATTCAAAAAAACAAAAAACAATTTTTTTTTTTTTTTTTGGTCCCAGGGGTGAAAAAAAATAAAAATTGATTGATTGATTAATTGGTTGATTCATTGATTGATTGATTGATTGATTGAATGATTGCTTGCTTGCTTGCTTGCTTGATTGATTGATTGATTGATTGACTGATTGATGGATTGATTGATTGATTGATTGATTGAGTGAGTGAGTGAGTGAGTGAGTGATATGAGATGGGGGGGGGTTGCCTCCCCCCCATGAGTACACACACACACACACAAAAACGGGCGCG